TCCATTGTTGTTTGGGGTGTCGTTTTGCGTACCCTCTACCTATGAATTAACTTAGTAATAAATATAGGCATAACAAATATGCAAATGCGTGTAATATACCCCGATAGGTGAAAGGGCGATTCGAACAAGCATCATGTGCTTAAAGAACGTGAGGCTCATTCCTCGGGCTATCGCCGTATCACCGCCATCTCAACAGCGACACCCATTTTTCACTGCAGTCAATGTACGTTTACCATACAATCCTTTTATAAAACCAGAGTGTCAGGAGCCGGAGAACAGGCTAAGGTGCTCTTTGGTTATCATATTAATTTGTACATAATATCACCCCATACAATAACACAATTCTGTGGAAATTTTTCTATTCAAAGTTAAGGCTCGGAAAAGCAACTTATTTGTCGTAAAAACAAAGTGCGTATCGTCAATGTAAAAAAGCATACGTTTCTAAGAAATGATGCCTAAACATTTTGTCAAAAATTTCTAATCAGATGTAAAAAAATGAAACACCGTAGCATTTCTATAAGTCGAAAATCGGTTAAGAAGCATTCGATGAAAACACACTCATAAGAGCACATTTGAGCCTCAAAGAGATTTTGTATTACTCGAGTTAAACAGGATTAAGACTGACCAATAAGCATGGGCTACAGGCTTACCGCTTGCCTTTCTAGCCTGGTTTGACATCGGCTGGTTGATGGTTGGCACTCTGACCCATTTTGCGCCTTGCAGTAGGTGCCATTCTGAGCATTTTAAAATTTTGGAATTTCATTTTTCAACGTTACTTGAAACGCATTCTGGCAATGTTAAGGAAAGATGTCACGTGTGCATATTAATAATCGGTTCATTAATTCTTGCTTGATGTCATGTAGGCCCGCACTTTTCAATTGAACACATCTATTCCTCATTTTTTCGTTATTTAAGCGTCTTGTCTCGTACCTAGGTCGTGGTCTACGTTTCGGAGCTCAGTTGACGCAAATTCTGCGACCCTTAGTATGTTGCCTCTCCCTCTTCACACTCTTTTTTTCATCTGCAGAGTGGTGCTGCAGCTCCTCTTAAGGACGAAGATCGGATTTTTAACAACCTTTATGGCAGGCATGATTGGCATCTTAAAGGCGCAATTCAACGGGTATGCCATCTCTTCCTTTATTACCTCGTGCCAATTACTAGGGTCGTTGGTATAAGACAAAGGAGATCATTTTGAAGGGCCAAGACTGGATTGTTGAGGAGATTAAAAAGTCGGGTCTTCGTGGTCGTGGTGGCGCTGGGTTTCCAACTGGTGTTAAGTGGGGCTTCATGCGTAAACCCAGTGATGGCCGGTTTGTCCTCTTTACTCTGCCTTTATTTCTACCTCAGTCCTCGCTATTTAGTTGTCAATGGCGATGAGGGCGAGCCAGGTACCTGCAAGGATCGCGAAATTATCCGCCATGACCCACATTCCCTCATTGAGGGGTGCTTAATAGCTGGAGTCGGTAACGGAGCCCAAGCAGCGTACATCTACATTCGGGGGGAATTTTACAATGAGGCTTGTATTCTCCAAGAAGCTATCAACGAAGCCTATGACGCCGGATTGATAGGGAAAAATTCCTGTGGTTCGGGCTATCCTTTCGACGTCTACATTCATCGTGGTGGTGGAGCATACATTTGCGGTGAGGAAACCGCTCTCATTGAATCCATTGAGGGGAAGCAGGGCAAACCTCGTCTGAAGCCACCTTTCCCCGCTGATGTGGGTCTCTTCGGTTGTCCAACAACAGTAAACAACGTCGAGACAGTGGCTTCCGCTCCCACCATCTGTCGAAGAGGGGGTGAATGGTTCGCATCCTTTGGACGGGAGAGGAATCATGGAACTAAGCTCTTCAATATCTCTGGTACATTGTTATTCTACTGCACCTCTGTCAAGTGGTCAGGCTTTAGTATCACCAATGCCATATTATTTTGATGCTTCTCTAGGTCATGTGAACAATCCGTGCACGGTGGAGGAGAGCATGTCGATTCCTCTAAAAGATCTGATTGAGCGTCATGCGGGTGGTGTTCGAGGTGGCTGGGAAAACCTATTGGCTGTTATTCCAGGTGGCAGTTCTACACCCGTTATTCCAAAGAGGTGATACGTTTGTTCATTCACTCATCGTTCTCTACACTAGGTCAATTTAAACAAATTCGAATATTTGTTTTTTGTCCCGTTAAACTGTCCGATTTCTCTTGTTCAGGAAACCTGATTTATTATCGGACGCTCTAGTTACTCATGAATTTACAAACTTGTCTCTGTAGTTTTATTACGCTATTTAGAGAGATTGGTTCCTAGGTTCCTTGTAAACAATTCTGTTGTTCCGAGGGCTCTGAGGAGAACTTTGTGCAATACTAATAACATAGTGTGTTCGTGTTAGTTCGGTGCTCTTAAGCTTCTTACGACATTGACTAAGCAAATTTCATGAATTAGAAATCTTTTTTCTCTTGGTACGATTTTCCTTTATTTTATTTAATCACCTCATATTTTGTTGAGGGCAACTTTAAACAGGACTATCATTTTTGCCAAGCTAGTCTCTCATGATCTATCCATTTCGTTACTCCGATTTCATTCACCTCTTGAATCAAGTCGACAGATGGAGGGAGAGGATTATCAAATGCCGTATCAATTACCCTCCACATCTTTTCTACCAAAGCAGAAGCTGGCTGTAATGCCTTAGCACGAATGCCTGTGCGAGTGGGGTTAATGGGGTTTGAAGGGTCTTGTTGTTGTTTTCAGCATCTGCGAAACAGTACTGATGGACTTTGACGCCCTGGCAGAGGTGCAGTCAGGACTGGGCACTGCGGCAGTCATAGTGATAGACAAGTCGGCAGACATAATCCGCTGTATTGCGCGTCTCAGTGAGTTCTATAAGCACGAGTCCTGCGGCCAATGTACGCCATGTCGCGAGGGCTGCACGTGGATGTGGAAGGTTATGCAGCGCTTTCGTGAGTACACCTTGATTAGCATTTTGCTGCGTCCCAGTATTTGAGGACTTTCCTTGCAGTTCATATCTTATCCACGGTTTGGTCACATAGAAACGGGCAATGCAAAAGAGGAGGAGATCGCGTTTCTTAACGAGATATCCAAACAAATCGAGGGTCATACCATCTGCGCTTTCGGCGAGGGCGCCTCTTGGCCCGTTCAGGTGAGCCTAGATTGTCATGCCTTTGTGAGAGCTTGTGCATATTAGTCAAGATTGGTGGGTTGTTTGAGTTCCATGTGCCTCAGTAAATCAGTTGAGAGAGTTGTTACATTAAATGGAGGTTTAGAATGCTTTCTGACAGCATTGTGGATTTTCGCTCAAGGCTCTGGGAGCTACGCGTCCTGTTGAACAATCGGTGGTACTTATTGACCAAATACCTGTGTTGCGAGGGTCTCTGCACCTGACACGTAACTTTTGAATTTGGTCATATGGAAGGAGGAGTGGAAGTTATTGTTCCTTTTTATATGGCTTCTCCTCTATGACTGTTTTTTTGGGCAAAGTGGAATCCGGATGCGGCTACGCATCTGCCGTGGATTGGCATTTTATTAACGTAGGAACTGAGTCGAAATCTTTTGTGTTAGTGTGCGGACACTTAGTCCAGGTTGTACCCTTCACCACACTATCCTATACTGGTGTGTAAATAGATCGCAACTCAAGCGCTCTCATAGTTGCCCCGTCGATCGGCCTAATTCCTTCTTCCGCCTCTACAGGGTCTCATCCGTCACTTCACACCGGAGATCAAGCGTCGCATTGCCGAGTACTCGTCGAAGAGAGCTCAGGCTGCAGCTGGCTAACACCACTGAATGCCTGCAATCGGGGTTGCTCCCTCAATTGTTTCATTGTTATCACTATCATCATCATCACCACATTTCACTTTAGTTTTGACTCCGCGCAGCTCTGTAGATTGTCTCCTTTATTACCCATTGTTTTCTTAATGTAAATTGAAT